TAGATGCTTTCATTAAATGTAGCATTCTCCTTTGGCATTCTCGTCCAAGAAGGAGTAGAACTCGCCTGAACCGATCTCAACAGAATCCCGGCGGGCTCGAACCCAGATCGTGTTCGTACAGCTTAGAGTCCCAACACAGTTAACAGTGCGCCACATTGCCGCGAGTGTCTTTGGGTCACAGGGCAGATATGAATTACAAGACAATTTAAGGCCTTTTTCATATCACACTTCTTTGGCAGGACTATTGACGAAGTCAAGTTGTATTTGCTAACGCAATCGAATAGACTACTTATTTTCGCTTTAGTATTAGGCCTGAGAGGCTATTAATAGATCTGATGTAAGAACTATATTCATTCTGAAGATATGAAGACCAAGATGGTGTGGCCTCTGGTATGGTCGCAGTCTCCTTTCGATTTATAGAAGTGGGTTGACCTCGTTGTCGCAACTTGGTCTTGTGTTCATGGCGACTAGGTAGAATGCATCTAGTCCGAATTAGTCTGCCATAGTAGTTGTCATGATTCCCAACATCAAATAGTGGACTTGGTACATTCTCGAGCGTTTCGCCGGCATCGTAGTCGGCATCATCAATGAGTTGTCGGCTACGAAGTTGTGATAGGGCGGGAGTGGGAGAAGAGGGTAAAGAGTAGATAGATAGGCCAGGACAGAAAGATGAGTGAGAGTGTAACCGTTTTCGGCAGAACGTTTGTCGAGGGATCGAGTTCATTTATCTCTTTGACGAGTTTGAAGCTTGGTGCGAAGAATGGCAGCACTCACCGATGATGCTGACTACGATTCCGGCGAAACGTTTAGGAATGTACCAAGTCCAAGATCTGATGTTGGGACTCGTGACAACTATTATGGCAGACGACTACGGACCAGGTGCGTTCTACATAGTCGCCATGACAACAAGACCAAGTTGCGACAACGAGGTCAACCCACTTCTATATTCATTCTGTTTCGTTGAATGCGATGAAGAACTGGATTAGAATGGCTTTTGTGAAGCATGGCTCTGTGAAATTCAAGGGAAGCATACGGCCTGCTCATGTGATTGTGGGCAAATTCAACTACCGTCAGCTTAAACAAATGAAGGCTAATAGAGTTCTCTTCTTGTTCTGCATCTTATTTAATTTGCAGCTGTTTGCTTTGGCAATTTGATGACTGTTTACTATTTGACTGTATCTGCCTCTGACGTAGTCTGTCATGACAAGACAAACGAAAACTCAGCACGAATTAATCGGAACAGGACGTCTTATTTGTACAAAGCAATCCTCCTTTTGGTGTGCAATGTAAGGAATGTTCAACCAAAGCCATCTTCTCTTCAGCTCTCATAGTTGGTCCCTTCTGTCCAGTGGCAGGTACACTCCGAAGCGATGCGATTGGTCACCATGTACCAGACAAGGAATGAGTCTGGCTGATGTGCTTGATCGCAACAGAAACGGCAAATCGAGTCCCTGACCGTTCAGGTTGGCTGCGGATGGTATCGCCACGTCCAACCTCAGACACTTGAGCGTCAGTATTACGCGTTTTCAGTTGAGCTTGTGTCTCACCTGAGCACCGTTTCAGCCCAACTCGTCACCATCCCAGTCAAGCGGGACTCGAACTCACAGCCTTTCTGTTCAAACCGTCAGACACAAATTCCGGCTTACCGTATTCGCAGCGCGGACCCGAGTAGCCTTTGGGACAGTTGCAGTGCACCTTCTCTCTGTTCTCGTAGCAGATGCCTCCGTTCAGGCAGTGACTTGTCTGCAGATGCGGGCTGCAATTGGCCTCTGGACGCAGGATTGTGGATGTGGACAGGGCGCAGGGAAGCACAAATTGGCATAGCAACTGTACACTTAGTATGTGTAAAATTATGACATTTTTATCAGAATAATAATAATAATAACTTTGGACATCTTAAGGCTGGTGAGTAAATGAGTAGTAACTATAAGTCATTAATAAATGCAAATAAAAGATCATTTGGTGAGCAAATCTTAAATAGACTCTTTCACTTTTCCTACAATAAAATGAGTGAAAGTCACGAAATCCTTCTCATTCCAGATCGCCAGTGATTTCGAGCTGACTTTTCCATTTCATCGCACATCTTCAACAGTACTCAAAGCTGGGTCGTTTGTATGTCAATAAGTGGTGCCAGTGAGCTACGAGGCAGATGGGAAATTCCATTCCCAATTTTCTGTTTTTGTAGAACTGTCGAGGGAACATTGGAGTTGTGAATTCTGGGCATTTTTGTGTGGGAAAAGTAGACTTTCCACACTGCCTAACATGACTGAAGTTCTTACTAAAAATTCACCGTTTAATATGCAACAATTTATACATATTTACTGATTGTTTACATGATAAGCTATTATTATGTTGTTTGTCTGTCCGTGACGACAAGAGTGTTGAAGGAAGATGTAAAGATCAAGTCTCGGAGCTAACCTACCACCCCCTGGACCCTGACTTAACTGATGGTATAGGCAAATTGGAATTCTAAATATGAAAATAAGGATCGTCTAAACACAAGCCTACTCCATAAATGTCATTTTGATGAAAATCGTGAGGACCTCGAGAAGGGTTCTGAACACTTTGGAGTTCGATGGCCGAGCCTGCCAAGGTAGGATACAGAAAATTCATAGTGTTTTGTGTACGACAATCTATAAGTCTCTCAACTTCAGATTTGCAGCACCTCCAGACATCAGTTTTCCAGTCTTGGTTGAACTAGGTCCACTATTTTTTTAAGAGAGGTCCAAGTTTGGTTTTGCCGGCCAACTGGCCTTGCTGTTCACCGCAAAGCTTGGAAGCAACCGATTCTGGCAATTGAAGAGCATGTTAAGCCAAGCGAAAATGGAAGATCATTGGGGACATATCAATCGTCCCGCAAAGAAGGTTCTGGTCGTTGAACCATCAGAACGATGAAAGCGGCTAAAGCGTTTTTTTTATCTTTGTAAAGCACTTACGCAATCACACAGGCTTATAATCGCCCAGTAAGTGGAGTCTTCAATGCTGCTTGGTACTGCAAAAAGTGAACTTTAGTCTATCGCGAGGACGGAAGATTGGTTGGTTTTATTTTAAGTTCAAAAGTAGATTTTTCGGACCGTCAAAAGATCTGATTTCAAAGCCGCTTTCAACACACTTTGTTTAAAGAATGAAGGAGTGGCAGTTGCATTTTTGCACAAACAGACAGCAAGGCTTTATGCCTCCATTAAATTTCACACAAATTTGGAATGACCCATCCCCAGACTCTGTCCTATTTCTTCTCGGCTTCTTTTGACCGACACGACATGCTCATCGGTTCCCTCATTCCCTGACGAAACAGTTGGATAGACGCAATTCATCCACTCTCAACACCGAAGGCAAGAAGAAGACACTTGGGCTTCGTCGCCCTCTCCGACCTCCCACCTTCACGCGATCACCAACTGGCAGATTCAGGTTCATACTCGTCGTTAACCCTCCCACCCATTCCGATTGAGTTGGTTTCGAGACCTGAATTACAAGTTGATCAAATCATAGACTGCTGTACCACAACCTGGGTTCGAGTCGCGCCAAGGGTGCTGATGAGAATCAGGCGAGATCGAAGCCTCAATCCAGCCCGGATGAGGTTGGGTAAACCTTAATAGGGTCGTGAAAATTTTACACTTGGTCCGATATCATCTTATGCGACCTGGACGAAATAGGGCGCTTATTCAAGATCTAAGGTTGGTTTCGAAACCTGCCCAAATGTGCTGAGATTTCTTTTGACTTTGCCATTTTTATGAGTTCGAAAGCCGGCCAGAGTGAGGCGATTTGGCTCCTCAAACAGGGACTTGACCAATTCGCATTCCAGCGCACTTGAAAGTGAGCTCTTCCGGCTCACGATAACTACGAGAATAGTTTGCCATTATTTCTCTCTTTCTCCACGAATCGATGCAAAATGGGTTGAAATGATGATACCACGAGGCTCCTGGGTGAATGTAAAAACTCAGCTCTGTAGAACTGTGTATGACGAAGGAGTAGCAATTTTGCAGTTTATCAGGTATACATTTTTTTATCTCGATGCTTCAGTCTACACGAATCTACTCAGTTCCTTTCTCAACTGTTCAGCTGGGCCGTAACTATTCCCATCCTGCTTTCTCACTCTCTGTTGTAGCAGCCGAGGGCTGTATGGAGTAGCTCTAAACTGGCTGATGAATAAGGCCAATGTTAGAATTGGGAGACACTTAAAGAAGACCGGACGGAAATTCAAGTACACAAAATAGTCGAGCCAAAAAGACATTTTACAATGCTTTCCAAAGCAAGGGTCACAATTTCGCCCTTAGCAGACGCCTCCACCGGTTCAGCCGTTTCTTTCCTTCGGGGGGCATCCCTGCCTTGCCAGAGAGGCGAAAGGAATACGAGCTGCGAGCAGAGAAGACGAAAAGCAAACAACACGGGAACGATAGTGTATATAAATCGGGAAGGTAAACTGGATAATTTTGTCCGGAAGCCCACCCAAGCTGGCAATGGCGATGAGAATAATCGAATCGAGAGTGTGAGGATTGGCATGAGGTGCATATTTTGTTACTCATAAGAGGAAAGTATTAAATGAACATCAAGAAAATGTGAAAAATAGACTAAACAACCAAAGGAATAAGGTGAAAAAAAAATCAAAATACCGTTTTTATATTTGAGAAATAAAGGAATATAAATTTAAAATTTAAAACAATTTTTTAAATAAAGAAAATAATTATGGAGGACATGGGCTAAAATTAGTATTGAAATAAGAAAGAAAAGTTACAGAGAGGAATAAACAATTTGAGAGAAAAAAGGAAATAGTGTCCATATGAAATTATTAATGGGGAAGTAATAAACTAAATTTTCAGACAATTGGAGGTGGCAAGAAAAAGAAGAACAAGGATACTAAAGCTAAAAATATGAAAGTTTGAAAGACTAGAAACATGTTATTCCTTGTTCATACAAACAAACAAATAAGTAAAGCATTAAAAATATATAAAAATGGAAGATTCATTGGGTTTTGAAAAACTCCTTAACCGAATATTGCTGGAATATTTTTCATTTCGTGTGAGGATCATTTTGGAGTTGTGACTGTAAAGGTATGCCACTCCGACGAATGTCTGCTGAGCATTAATGGCGTTATGTGACCATGTAAAAAAGCACTTCAACTTCCTAGGTTTAAAAATGACTAATGTCGTTGTGAATCACACTAAAAAGCAAGCTTGGAAGACTTCCTAAATTTAATGAATGCAATTTATGGGAAAAGTGAATTCACCATCAAGTTAGAGTGGGAGGGTAGTTTACCTTTTATTGCTGTCTTAGTTAGTGAAGATGGAACCAAAGTGGGGAAAGATGAATATAGGGAGATCATATATGTGACTTGCTATGCCATCATCGTTTAAAACCATACTTATGAGTATAGAGTGGAGGGAGCCTGAGACTTAAAGATGGAAATCAACGGGACCGGAAGTTGAGGAGAATGAGGCAAATTTAGTTAACAACAAATGCCTACTAAGATTAAGTAACAATTATTTGAAAATATTTTAACAAATACGATGGAGGGAAGCATAGATTTGACGGAAGATAGATTTTCTGACCACCCCATTTAAGTCTTGTTGTTACAATCCTGTCAACTCTCGAAAAAGACAGGTAAATTACTGGAAAAGTTGGACGTCAAGGCGATGTATAGAGAGAAAATAGCACTCATCTCATGCTAGCATCGTTGTGGAAAATGTTTGACCCTTTTTCTACATCTGGCTATTTTTGGGTCCAAAACTAGGCATTAGCAAGGTAGGTTTCTCACAGAGGACACGAGACCGACGGGTTTAGGGCCAAATGCTGCCAGTCCATCATCACTTTAAACGAAATGTCTGGGAAAAAGCTACTTAAAAATAAAAAATGAGTAGTGTAGTCGATTGGCATAGTAAATACAACTTTGCTTTATTGACAATCCCACCATATAAAGTGATGTGTAAAAGGTCCACTTTGTGATCCAAGTGGTTAATGTGTGCACTGCCATAACCTAGGTTCGAGTCCTGCTGCGGTTTTTGCTGAGACCAGTTCAGGCGAGGTCGCAACTACCGTCTACTGTAGCCTGGATGAGAAGACCCCTTGGAAGACAAGTTTATGGGAACTTTAATGAAGACTTCAGGCCTCATCCTTATGTCCTCAACGAAATAATGTGTCAATACCGCTCTTACATTTACATACTACTGATGAGAGTAGAAGTAGAGCGTCTATGGAAATCATCAAAACAGCCAACCTTCTGAATAAA